GTCCAACATGACATGGTTTCTTTGCTTTAATTTTTTTGTGGAACGGTAATACTGTGTGAATAATCCAAGATATGTATGCAAGTTTATATAAATGCTTAGGTCTTTCTAGCACATACATTTATTCCCTCAGTTTAATTTTTCTAGGATTAAAGAAAATGGATGTTGTCTTTGAAATTTTGACTATTTTGTTTACCCCCAAAAGGCCATCTAAGTGTCTGTTGGTGGGGCCAAGCAAGGTAGAAGACTTGCTTTTTGTTTATATATCTGTCACTGCTCAATAAAAATAGATTGATCCCACAGTAAGCAAGTACCCATTGCAGAGAGTGAGATCTGCAAATTGTTGGACAGCTCGTCTAAAAATAATGGATACAAACTTTGATTAGTTCTCATATGCTCCCCTGTGACAGCTCCTGCTGAGAGTCAAGGAACAGCACGTCAAGGCAGGTTTGAGAAAAACTTTCATTAGGGAGGCCAGGGTTGACTAAGGTCGTGCTTCGTTTTGTAAAACCTGAAAAGGCTTTTTTAGAAGGGCAAGATGAGTTTGGACTGGAAACACATTTCCCTTCTGTTATTTTTTTCTATACAGAAGTTGGTTGACAGGGCACTCCACTGGAGCAAATTGAGATCCTGTCTCTCAGTTCCTGAAAGCTTCTTTTTTGTAAGATAAGCTTTTGTTAGGTTTCAGCATAAATAACATACTCCACTAGTTTTGATTTCTGGGGTGGTGGAGTGTCTATTTACACCTACAATGCAGGTTTTTAAGAGACTTACCTTTATATGAATGAAAATGAAAGACTTTTCTGTGCCACTGAAGATCGAAGAGAGATCTGTGTAGGACTGAAGAAAATAATGCCAGAGGACTTATGAAAGATCCAGGGGTTGACAGCAGGAACAGTCAGAAGCTACAGAGTTGCACCAGAATGGGGAAATCCATCTGCTGCAGGGTATTATAAAGATTAAGCAAATTGGTTGCAGCTGGTTCAAAATGATTTCTGCATTGTTCTCTACTGTTGACATGTTACAGAACTGTTGTTTTTTCCCCACAGACACCACTAGCTCCCCCTGAAGTTCAGCAGCAATATTTATCGAGCATTCAGCACCTTTTAGGAGATGGTATGGTGCTTATTATGGGCTAACTACACTTAAAAAATTCTACTTTTTTCTAGACTTGAACAAATCATCAGAATAACTTCAACAATTTCTTCCCTCTAGGACTGACTGAGTTAATAACTATTGTTAAACAAGCTGTGCATAAAGTTTTTGGAAGGTAAGAGCCTGTGTTTCTCTGTGGTTAGCTTTTAAGTTTTATTGTGATGACTGTTCCCGAAGCAATGAGTTTTATGAGAATAAATATAAAATGGGGTATATCAACTTTTTCAAAACCATGTTTTTATTATAGTAGGCTGCGTGTGCCAATGCAAACCAAGGCAGTAGACTGGGGTCCTGTTACTTGTGAACATGTTATTGGTAGGAAGAGAAAGAATCATTATTCCTTTCGGAATCAACACTGTAGCCTTCTTCCTTTCCAGTATTTCCCTTAAGCACACCCTGTCTCTTCTGGACCTGGAACAAAAACTTAAAGATATCAGGAAAGTAGTGGAACATAAAGATTCAGATCAGATTGCATCTTACTCTCCCTTATGTCATTATCTGATGCCAGATGAAGAAAACCCCTTGGCTAGCCAGGTACTTGTTTCAGTTTCTTTCATCTACCTTTTTTCATTTGCATTTTTGTTTCTTTTAGGAGGTGAGGGAAGTCCTCTAGTGTGCCATGGTGTCCGTGTCTCTAATAAATGGTGGAGCCTCTTCCATCATAAATCAAGTGTCCTTATCTCTTTGTTTAGGCAAAGTTATATTTTCTTCAGATTTAGTTGAAAACAAGTGTCATGCTCAGAATGTCAGCTTTGTGCCCAGAAACACGGCCCACTTACTGTTTTTAGGCTGTGGCCGAAGCTGTGACAGGGCTCAGCTTAACTGAGCCCTAAGCTACATTGTATCCCTTGCACTGCTGTACCGGCAAGGTTCATGGAGCACTGTAGCATCTTGGCTGATGCTCGGGATGGCGATGTGCTGCCATCCTTTGGTGCTTTGGGCTGGAAAATGAACAGGAAGCCAAGAGAAGGGCGTATCTAACTGCAGCTGTAATATTAATTTCCTACATTTTGTGAAGGTGTTTGTCTCCACCCACACCACAGGTTGGAGAAAACTCACTCTTCACTTGGTTTTACACTCATGTAAAGATGAAACATGGGCTTCAGTGTGTGACTGCATGTACTTACCATTTTAGCTTAAGCTGATATTCTGGGTTTATTTCTATTTTGAAGGTCAAAAGTGGAAAAATGCCTTGCCCAATTAGTCTGATACTTCCTGCTAGTACTATTTTTAGTAAAAAAAAATCCTACAGTGACTATTTAAAACACAAATTACAACGAATCTGATTTATGACAATATTTTCTTTTAGATTTGACTTGTATATCTTTGACTTTATTCCATGATACACAACTTTTCTATTTCTACTCTTTATTCTCATGGTTGCCGATGAAACTAACTAATCAGTGTCTGTCTTTGCTTTTTCTAGGCTTGTGGACTCACAGAAAGAGATATTGCTACAATTAAATTACTGAATGAAACTAGAGATATGCTAGAAAGGTAGAGAGAAATAACCTGTATTCACATTAAACTCCTCACAACTATTGTTTATGTAAGACAATTACTTTCATATAAGAAGTTGTCAGCTTTTCATTTGTGAAATGTGAGCGTTTTGCATTAAATTTTTACATTCTAATGTAAAAGTTTAATTACTACATTACTAATTGTAGGCTGGGATTTTCAAAATTTGGGAGCTCTGAAACTTATTTAGAAGAAATAATCCTGCCTTAATGAGATAAACTAGGATGTTCTTCCCAGTCAGACCTCTTATCTCTTCCTCACCTGTTCTGTAGTCGTGCAGGAACAGAAGAGTACTTCTTTTCTGCCAAAGTAGGATAAATTGAGAGTAATTTTATTGAATTTACTTGATTTGATAAAGTGAACACTAGTATTGGCTTATTGGAATTTCTTTTTAGTGCGTGGTTTTGAGAGTGGTTGTATGTGTCCTTTTACCAGAGAGAGCTATCAAAGTGAGGTTTCTATAATAAACACAGGATATGAGGGAATTGAGACAAATGCCAAACTATTCTTACCATTTAGCTGCTAGGGATCTGGGGCATTTTAAGGGTAAATCCCTTCTATGTTATAACTCTGTAAGAAATAGAAGTGAGGAATGCTTTAGACTTATCTCGGTTTTAGGGTAGAGTTTGGGTTGTTGAAGGAGCTGGTCTTTGGTGAGGTGACAATACTAATGGCATTTGTCTGGGTCATACATTCTCCCTGAGGGGAGGCATATCTGAGTCACTGAATACTTGCAAGGTTTTTTAGTTGGAAAAAATAAAACCCAATAATTATTATTATTATTGTTATTATTATCATCATCATTATTATTCTTTATTTTTCAGTCCAGACTTCAGTACGGTTTTGGGCACATGTTTAAACAGAGGATTCAGTCGACTGCTGGACAATATGGCAGAATTTTTTAGACCTACTGAAAAGGACCTCTCTCAGAATGGCTCTGTAAATAGGTAAATATTTCCTTCTGTTGTGGTTCTCATGTCACTAGTGTTTTGTGTTCATAGTGAATTCCAGAAAGCCTATCAATTTTCCTGCCTTCTTGAAGCTCTCATGCTGAAAGTAATATTCTGCTTCTTGCTCTTCAAGAATCAGTGCATTCCCCATGTTTTGTTCAGGCAGACAGCTAGGAGGATTTCATGTGTGGAAAGAAACATGCAAGAGTATAGGTGAGGTATCTTTCCCACCATTACTTGCAGATCTAGAAGTAGAAATCAGATAACCTTACGTTCCACTTTTTGCCCGAACACTGTACTGGCAGACTGCCTTTGGGGTTAGGCAGGGTTTATCCCACTGGTGGCGACTACTGGCACATGTGCTGCTGTACCTCCCTGTGAGGCCAGGAGGAAGAGCCTTCCCCTGCAGCTCACGGGCCCTGTGTGTCCCAGCCTCTGTCACTTACTCTGGTTATCAAGGAAGCTGGGTGGGCATTGCCGTGACCCTCCAAATACAGGGAGCCAAAGCACCCACAGAGCTCTAAGTTCTTTGCTGGTATGCTGATAAAATATAGTAACACTCAGGATTTTCTACATATTCCCAGGCACCTCTATCAGCTGTCTGCATACACACACACGTAAAGACTCTGGCTAAACCATAATTCACTTGTGTGAGAAGAAAGTATGAAACTCTGTATAATAAGAAGACCAACTGAAATTAGCTTTGGTACTCCTCTATATTAAATGAAAGGCTTGACAGGGAAAAAAACCCCTTTCATCTGTACATTTTAGTTTGCGGTCTGGAAATTCTTACTTTTTAAGTAGTAATTACTTAGAATTCTAATAATCACAGTTTAGTGGTTTTACCAATGTCAGAGCAGGTCTAGGTCAATATTTTTTTTGTTTTTTCTAGTCTTTCCAGTGTCAGTCTTCCTTTAGCCAAGATAATTCCAATAGTAAATGGGCAGATCCATTCAGTATGCAGTGAAACACCCAGTCACTTTGTTCAGGTAAGAATCTTCCTTATTTACAATATTCCAAGTAAAATTTTGAAATTAATATTGTATATTTCTTTTTAATAAATGCATTCTCTTTACTTTCACTGGCTTTTAAAAAATCTGAAACAATTGGCATAAAAAAATTTTTGTACATTTATATCTTTGAAAAATTTGCTGTTTTTCTAGAACTTCTTCCTTCTGCTGAACTGTGTAGATGCACAGACAGGTCTCTTGACTTGGTTCAACTTGCAGTTCTGCCCAAAAACCTTTCTAAAGCAAGAAATTTGAGTAACGTCTCTGTGGAGGCATCAGGTGTTTTTCTCACGACAAATTCTGTACTGCAGCAAAACCAGAATGGCACTGGATGTGTTCAATTAAGCAAATTTATTTTTTACATTTCTTCCAGGACCTGTTGATGATGGAACAAGTGAAAGATTTTGCTGCTAATGTTTATGAAGCTTTTAGTACCCCTCAGCAACTGGAGAAATGACTCGCACACTTTTAGGAATAGACGGTGTATTTATAACAAATCCCTTGCAACTACTGATGAGACTTGGGTTAATTTTATAATGGTGTAGGAGTGGCAGACCAGCAGAAAGAACACTCCGAGGAAAGTGGGAGTAAGCCCACATTTGTTCTAATAGAATTATGTTTCAAGCGCCCATTAAAAATATTCTTGTTGAAAGAATCATTGTATGTAAAGACTTTTCTATTAAAAAAAGTGGTTAAATTCCTCCGTATTTAATTTGATTATTTTTATTGCATCTAAAAGGCAGCTGGTGGCAGTATTACAGCAGGTTACTAAAAAAAACATTTGTTTGCCCTGGAGTGTGTAAGTTTTGGAAAGAACTAATGATAGTGATCTAAGAATAGCACAGAGTAGCAGAATGAAGTAATGCTTTTTGCTTCTTCTCCCCTCAAATTTTTCTTTTTATGAAGAAAATCTTTTTCACTTAACTTTACAAACATTATTCCAAAGCCTCTTGTTCTTCAGAAGGCCTTGCCAACAGATGCACGCTCCTCTTGAATGAGCTGGGGGCATGCTCTCTGTTACTTAATGCTAAAGGAATGTGGGTTTTCAGATGTTCTCTTGTTTATGCTGTTCAAACAGCTACACTGTACACATTACCTTGTAAATATTTTATCTTAATTTGTATTAATTTTGAGCCCAATTGTCTGTATTGTAATAAAATATTTTAATGTAAAACTTGTGCGTGTATTAACATTACTAGCAAGAAAGGGAATAACCAAATTTGGCACACCACTCAAAATTCTGACATCGCTGAAAGAATAAATTTAACTTACACAGTAATAATTTTGCACTCAGCGACATTACTCAGGAAAAATAAACCTTCAATCTCTACACTGAAGCAGAAACAATTAATGCCTTTTGTTGTCCTTTATCTCCTCCTCTTTGCAAACTTCACATTGTGTGTCTATCCCTAGAAATTGACACATGGTGAGTTTGGCAGAAAGACAACATTTTAAGCAGAGGGTAGACTGCATCCAAATTGAAACATTTCCAAAGTTGAAGATCCCTAGCAACTCCTGATTATTTCTCTTTTTTTCAACAGTTAAATTGTTGAAGTATATGTTTTGTTTTACAGTCCACATAAGGCACCCTGGTAACTGTGTAAAAACAACGGCTGTAAACAAAAGTCAAGCTTTACCCATGTAAAATTATACAAAACGGAAAAAAAACCTTCCCAGTTTACCTATGTCCAAGTAATGGATAGAATTATCCACTCAAGTGTAGGAACATGTGAAATGAGTGACTTCCATGATGAGAAATGATGATGTACATATGCATTACCTCCATGCATGTGTGATGAATTCTGAACCCTTATGGACCTGTTCTTCCCAATGTTACCCTACTATGCTGAAACTACTGGCTACCAGTTGCTGTACACAGCTGGAAACAGTTTATCCTTTTCTCCAAAACTCACCTTTTACTGTGCAGTTTTGTGGAAGTTGGAGTTTTTGCATTAAAGAGGGTGTGCTTGAGCTTGGCCAGTACCTGACTAAAACAAGTAGAGAGGTCAAGGTAGCTGCTCAGTTTTTCACACTACTTCAGAGAAACAAAAATATATGCAGAGGATCAACTATCTCATGGTAGACTTCATGTGAAGTTTGTTCCATTCCTTAATAACAGCCTACCTTTTATTAAAAAAAAGTGAATTTATTGTTTTTACAGGTAATTAAGTTCAAAACCAGTGATGAGAAACAGCAAAGCATCCGCATTCCCTGCTAGCTGGGGCTCCAGCAGAGTATGGCTCATTTTATGGCAGTCAGTTGTAAAGTCCAGCCCCACTGGCATGGCAATTGCTTCGGAGTTAATTGAGGTAGAGCTATAATCAGTCCCTTTTCTCCCAGTGCAACCCATTTCAGCAGTTCCTTGTAGCCAGCCAGCTTTACCTAAGATAGAAACATACACTATAATTAGAACAATGCCTTTTCAAAGTGCATATAATTGCAATATTGACAAAATAAATATCGATCTATAGCTACCTTTCTAACCAATTACCTTTTAATGCCACTTACCAACCAAATGAGTGATAATTATTAAAGGTAATGGAAAAATACTAGCAAAGTAGATATGGAAGTGCAAGTAATAAAGCTAGTCATGTTGCGTCTTGAGAAGTACTTAGGGCTGTAGAAGGCAAACAAGCACCTTTCAGAAGTATTTGGGATGGGATTTAGGTCTAAGCAGGGATCTAGGTGCTACAGTACAGAGCTTTGTATCACCTATTTCTGAAATGCATGTTTCCCATAGTGGAACTTGTAGTCTCAAATGAGCATCACTGTTTCTTACAGGGTGCAGCCAGGTATCTCAGAAGAGCTGACCTGAATAACCCCCTCCCACTAAAATCACACAAATGGGTTTATGGTGACTCTTCTTCTTAGGCAGCTGGTGACACGCTGGAGCAGCTGAAGACCAGTCTCTGCCACTGAGCAACAGTACTCTCTTGTGCACATAGAGTCTAGCTGCCTCTCCAAAAGTCAAGATGCATTTCCATTACTTCTGAAATGACTTTTTCTTCCTTATCACAGAGTTATCTTGGCACCTATCACACTATTTTTATATGGAACTAGACCAGAAGCAGCCCTAATGCATTTCATCAGCTAATGGACATGAAGTGCATGAGACCAGAACAGAGCTAAGCCAAAGTGAATCTCCTCTTAAATGCACAGAGTTGATACCAACTTCTGCTTCCATTGGGCTACACTTCTTTCCAGAGTAGGTGTGGCATCAGTGTCCTCAATTTCTGACCTCCACTTGGTATAAGATGCACATCTAGAGTCACACTGACTTACTTTTTACCCTCCCTGGCCAACAAAAACCTCTGTCTGCATTCCCTTTGTGCAAGGCTAATTTAACTTGAAACAACTGCACCGTTACAGCAACTCCAATATCACCAAAGTCACCAAAGTGAGGACAGCTACTTATAAAGCGAAGTCTTGCCAAGTTAGAGTCTACATGTGAAACAGGAGAAGCAGTGCATTTTTTCCCTGCTACTTGGCCTCTTCATGATTCTCAGCTTGCAAGCTAAAACATATCCCAGCAACATCTCAGTCTAACTTTGTTAGTTGGAGAAGCAGCATCCCACTGGAAGCACTATGAGCAGGAGGTCTGAGAACTAAAACAAATATTCTGCTGGGTCTCTTCCAATGCACTCTGTGCTAAGAGCTATGCATTCCCAAAGATGCCAGAAATTAAATAAACATGATGGTACATGACAAATCCTAGAGGCAAGGGTACATATATGTGTGTGTGCTGTCTTTTACCTGTGTTTCTCCAAGCTTAGCCTGTGGCTCACCAAGTTCCAGAATCCCAGAAACTGGCCAGTTAAGGAAGACAGCATTGACTGTCCCTTCTTTAGGGCTGAAAGTGTACCTGGTTGGAAATGGGGAACAGAAATGCATGTCAGTTTTTCCATGTAAATTTTCTGAAGTGATACATAAGAGTGTTTCGAGATTGGAAAAATGGATTTGAAAAGTCAGCATTAGTTCCATTTTCACACACATAACCATCTTTTCAGATGATTTATATCCTTTAATAAAGTACTGCTCCTGTGTTCCAACAAACTAGAGGTAATGGAAACTATTAACTGAATTCAGAGGCAAACATCTGTAGTAACTTTAGTACACATGTAACTCTCTGCTGCTCAGCCATATAGGAAGGAGAAGGGGAATCCTTAACAGAGAATTTTAGGTTATATTCAGAAAAACATGCTAATTCACATCTATACAACAACATACAGACTAAAAAAATTTAACAAGTATGTACAACAATAGAGCTTCCACCTTGCTTAGCTAGTTTTTGAAAATATTTATTTTCAGCATATACTATCTGCACTATTTTCATTGGAAATCTTGTAGCATACTCTCAAAACATGCATCCCTCCTTTCTTCATTTAGTTACAACTTTCTATTGCTCTTGAAAATGATTTTACTAAACAGTCAGCAGTTCAGCATCTCCCGGCTAAAGCCAGATGGCCAAATTTTACTGGGAACAGGAGTAAAAATGCCCACTGAGACAGAGAAGAGGGACAAGACCAAAACCCTGATGGATCATTAAGGCATTACAGCAGCTACAAGTCACAAAGGCAGGGGGGAGTCCAGAGACTGGCTGTATTTAGTGACCAAGCAATTGCTATTATTTTCCCATGCGTTTTTTCCTTAAAAAAATGTAGAATATGCTAGACTGGTTTCTAGTTTCTTCCTCTCCCTTTTTTCTCTTTAAACATCAAGTGACATCAAGTATTCCTTTCTACAGATAAACACTTCATAGCAATTTTATATTTCCAGATTTGTATATTCTTTGTTTCTGTTGCCAACCATACTAAGAAGCACAAGATCACTAAAGAAATGTTTGCAGCCTTCCCTTCAGCCTCAGCATCATCCCAAAACTACAGTCTCTACCTACAGCTTTATACACGCTTCTGTGTGCAGTTACTTAAACTGACAGAGGGATTAATTTCTTCACCACATACAAACTAAGATGGTGACTTCTGTAGCACCAAGTCATTAAGAACTTCAAAGTTTCACATACATTGGTGCTGCTTTACACAGCTTACATTCTGATTCAGTACCCTTACCACACTTCTGGTGTGACCGAGTCGTTCTGTGCTCTCCATGGTTTCGTTCCATAGATGGCCTGTCCATTGACCTCCAGCCAAGCACCCATCTGCCTCAGGCGCTCCTCGAATATAACAGCGATGCGACCGTCGTGAGTGGGCCCGATATTCATCAAGAGATTTCCCCCACAGGACACTGTTTCGACGAGTTGCTGAAATGTTTTTCAACACACAGAGCATACGATTACGACTAATGAAATCACACATCTGAAGTACTTTCCAAAGTCTGCCATGCTGCTTCAGAACGATGAACCAAATGAGTTACGTTACTGCTGCATGTTGAGACTTACGGGGGTCATCCCAATAGTCTAAACAAAATTTAAGCTCCTGTAAAACAAAGCTCTGATGACAAGTGTTACATCAGAAAAAAAGCCCAAAATATGTTCTTGCCCCAGTATATCTGGCTGAATGTACATTAGAATCAGATCCTACACATTTTTAACATTTTGACTTCTGCAAGAATGTCATGAGGGTTTTACTGATAGAATGGACAGATGATTTCTCTGCACCAGAGGAGAATAAGGCTAATAGTTGCCACTTCATCTTTACTGAAGCTTAGAGAAGCAACTTCCTCTGTTCTTCCTCTGTTTGATGCTCTCCCTATTTTACAGAGACATCTGTAAAACACAAGGAAGCCTTCTACAGAGTCTTGTAAAATTTGTGTCCATGTCCACACTGCCCTCCAGAGATCATGGACTGAGATGCACAAGTCTGAGAAACACAGCTGGAAACAAGCTGCTGAATTAATTCAATAACTTCTGCCTCTGAAAAGTTACTTCAATTTGTAATTGTCTTTTTGCAAGGACAGTACTAGAAACAGATTTAGATTAAGCAACAATAACAATCAATCTCCCCCTCACTAGCTGAGTTTTGCAATTAAAAGCATTTTTCTGAAAGGCTGATCATCTTTCTTTCATTCAGTTTTCCTAAGCTTCAAATCTTTTTTAGTACCTTAGACTAGCAAAGGAAATCAGTATTGTACTAAGACCAGCTGTCTGCGTCTGCTAGTGTTTACCTGTGTGTCTACCGAAAGTTTCTTGCTACGAGGTAAAATGACTATTGAGTCATAAATTGTTTCTAGCTGTAACGGGGAAAAGATGTAGCCTTCAATCAGCCATTCCTAACCAGGAGCTGTGAAACTGCAACTGTTTGATTCTCATCAGCTTAGAGATGCAGTTACCAGAAAAACTCAGTGGAAAAGGTAATTATGAGACTGTCCAGATCAGTCCTTGGCCAGTTACTCACAGGGGAAACGGCTTCTAAGAAACTCACCAAATTTCTACTAGATAAACCTTTCCCTTAGTAACTTCTGTAAACTCCTCTGCCCCACTGTACCTTCACCAAGTCCTCGATGGTGAGGTAGTCACTGAGCTGCGCGTCCCTGCGGTACCCCCACGACCTCCTGTCAATGGTCATACAGTTCTCCCACTTGTGAGGCAGGAGGTGGCCGGGGTTGTACCGGTCACTGCAGGTGTAGAAGCCGCCGTGGGTACAGATGCTGCCAACTCCCCAGCGGTCATTGGTTACAACTGTGTCCCGGACTGGGCTGGAAACAGACAAATTTTATTATTTTTATTCTATAAAGTGCAGTCGCAGCAAGCGTAAACCCTTCCCACACACACCCCTCCCAGACACTAACATTTTGGATGACTTCTGTACTACTCATTTATAGATTAAGTGCGATGTCAGGAACCCTGTTCTCATCCTTTCCTAGTAAAAGGTCCAGATCAGCATTTCTTAAGGAAATATGCTTGACTTTTATAGGAGCTCTGCCAGAAAACAGCCTGCATTTCACATCCACTGCCAGATGTTCATTCTACAATGAAAACAATGTACCCATATTCTCAAATTGTCCATCTATTGTGCTTCTGTGCAGCAACAAATATATAGGGAAGGCTGTGATTAGGTAGAGTAGCCAACACCATCTTAATGGATTAATTTGCAAATGTGTTTCAAAAATATGAAACAGTTTTTTCCTAAAGCAAGCTTTGATAATTCTAGGGAGGATCTGGATTCTGTATTTCAGGAAAATGAATATTTTGTTAAGTCCTCTAAAGTAGAGGTAACAAGTTCCATAAAATAAACAGAAAGTGAAACAAAATAGACAGCAGAATTTTAGACAAGGTGCTAAGGCAGCATCATTAGGTACCTGTCATTATACAGCCAAGCCAAGAAACCAGTGCTGTTCCAGTAAGTATCTGGAGCATTTCCATTCCCATCAGACCAAATTATTTCTGGCTGGTACTTGGTCACAATTTCATAGAGTTCTGGTAATGATTTACTGGTTGGAAACTTTCTTGTCTTGAAGACATTGCTGGCATCCTCAAGGAAGAGAGGATTAAACCATTCAAACAGGGAATGGTATAACCCAAAATGCAAGTCAGTCCTGTTTCTAACAGATGCTGCTAGTTCAGCAACAAGATCCCGTTTCGGTCCCACATCAACAGCATTCCAGTTCCAAGAATATTTGGACCCCCACAAAGTAAAGCCTGAAAAGAGAAAATTGAAAGGATAAGAAAGAGAAGAAGAAGAGGGGAAGTTACAGTTCCTCTTTCTGGAAAGTGGTTTGGAAGTACATTGCAAAAAATAATAAAAATTATATTTGTAATAATATTGTTATTGTTATTGATATGAACTGTGCCTATCATTGTGCATAAACAGATTATAATAGTCATAACATCAGAATACCATGGTAGATATGTTTACGTATTTTTTTATACATACATATGTCCTAACCAGTTCTGTACTGCTTAGGATAATTATTCCCTCTCTTTAGTTATTGACTTCATTCCATTTACTAGATGATCTTTAAGGCCCCTTCCAACACAAACCATTCTATAATTCTATGAAATTAACCAAAAATACAGCAGCTTTTTAGGCATATACACTTTTGCAGAAAGTATCAATGTGAACTGTAAATACACAACAAATGGAAGACAAAACTCTTTCTCAGCTGCGGCAAGCACAAGCTATTATTTGCATTCAAAGGCTCTTCTCTCTTCTGTTTCTATCTTATGCAAATGTTCACTTTTCATTTGTCTCGGTATTTATAGCAGCTCAATCAACTACTCAGTGCATGTCTATAAGCAGAGTGCAAAAACTCCTGAAACAGATTTCAAAATATCAACATTAATATCATGAGTCAGGAGAGATTTGACATTTCAGACATCCAGCAATCCTAGCACAAGCACTTAAAATAACACTGCACTGCAGACTCAGACCAGTGCCAGACAAGCTCCACTCTCACCTTCAAACTGCTTTAGACTCACTGCCTAATAAATCTTGGGATATTTTTGTGAACTGAATATATGCAATTGTATCGACTAGACTGACAAGCTAAAAATTCATGCCCAAGGCTACAGGACAGACTAAATGAATCATGATTCTTTTGAAGATTCTTGGGAATTTCACCACGAGCATCATCAAGATAAAAATTTATGTGTATCAGAGCTGAGATAAAAATTTACAAGTCACAAGTTGCCAGTCTTGAACCCACATCTCCCCAAAGACCAAAAACATTCATTAGCTGTACTTGTCATATTGCATCTTAGTATTTTATACTTTATTTGATACTGTATTTCCTTCCAGCCACTTTCTTTTTCTTTACTTTTCTCTGCAAAGCATCTTACAACTACAGTGCTAAAAATCAGTTGTGCCTGTAAAGCTACAGACCCAGTTCAAGGTTTTCGTTTCTATGAGCTACATCAGGAAAAGCTATACCTTGTGAACCTTCCTAACTCTGAAGCTGACTCCCAAAACATACCCCTAAATTCCTTGCAGAAACCTACAGAGCTCATTAACTGCCTGCATACAGCAGCTCCCCATATGTTAAAGAGTGCAGAATTCACTTTTATGGTTCTTTCAGCAATAAATTGCACTATGGCTACTGCAGGAAGCTCAGCTGCCACCACCACTTCAGCCTGTCTTACCTACAGCAAGAAAACAGTGGCACAATTTATTGTTCCTCCTATGCAAGCTCCATGACCTCAGCTTCCGTGTAAGAGTCAGGAAAACAACTGCACATTTCTTGGGTGTTTTTTTTCCTCTTTGGCTGCAGTGGGACAGGTAAGCCTGCCTGGCTTTCTTTCCACATCTATCTTAGCAAGCAGGAAAGTCACCTGCTTTTTAATTCTGTTGACAGAAATGCAACAGTTACTAACATTCACAAAGCTTCCACTTACCTTCATGATGTTTTGAAGTTAAGACAACGTATTTTGCACCTGAAGCCTTCAGAATATCTGCCCACTGGTTGGGATCAAAGAATTCTGCTGTAAACAGTGGCCCAAAATCTTCATAACTGAAGCCAGGTGGGTAATTGGCCTCCATGAATTTCACATAGGGCTCTCTCTTTTCCTTCTGCCAGTACCACCTAAAAAATACAGGACAAAACACGTCTGCTAATGTATTTTCAGGCAAAGAGACTTGAAATCATCAGCTCCTATTTGAGTTAACACTGAGAGGCAGACGTACTGAAGTACACGACACTAGCAATGGGACAAAATTGCTCCAGAACAGTATTAATTACCAAAGATTTGCTTTTCTCTATCCTATTTGTTCATGCTCTACATCTTTGAAGCACTCCACTTTGGAAAGGTCCCAGGATTTCATTTGAAGCAATGAAAAAAGCAGCTACACTTTGAGAATGGAAAAATGACAGTCTTAGTATCCAAATCCCAAAACTATACTAGAGAGCACGTGCAGAAAGTCCGTGTAAGCAGCCCAGGTGACATGAGAAATGCCCTTTTTCTGAAAAAATATGACTCATCCTCCTCAAGTCTCACACCTCAGCCATCAGGCACCTCTGCTCTGCCACCCACATTGCAATTCCTGCCACCTACAAACATGTGGACCAGCAGCTTCACCTTTCTGACAGTCCCAAGTCTTTTAAACCAAATGCAGTTGATTGACCAGATGCCCACAGTCCCCGGGCAGGACAGAGCTGTGACCAGTACACTACAGCCACTGCACAGGTGAGGCTCTGAACAAAAGGCACCCTACTAGAAGCCATGTCCTACAACAAAAACCCGCCAATCACTTAAAAATGCACCTCTGTCACAGGCTCTAACATGCAGGCACACATCTACCTTCCAATGCACTTGGATTTAGCAACTAGAAGGTAAAATAAGCTGATATTGTCTCTATTCCAACTGGGCTAGTCCATAGCAGGGTTTGGAGCTCTGCTCTGTGTTCAACATTGGTCTCGCCCTCTTCATAAGCAGAGATGATAAATCACCAATAGAGCAATATTTATTTTCAACCTGATCCCTTCCCTACCGAGCAATGAAGGAGGAGCTTCGGAAACAGCACACAGCAGTCCTTACTGCATGAACAGCCTTATTGCTGGACGCCTTCTAACAGCAACATACCATGTGACTGCTAATATATACAGAGAAAAGGGTCTGGAAGCATTCACCTTTCTATGAATGAAACCAAGCAGCAAAGATCCTTTTCTAGCAAGAACATACATGAAAACAGATAGTTAAGGAATAACTGCAGAATCTAAAGGTCAGAATCTAAATGTTTGAAGAGGGGAGGGAATATGAGGAAAAGGCAAAATAACAAACCACAAACAAACAAACAACCCCCTCCAACCAAACAACCTCTGATTTCAAAGTATGTAATTGCATAAATAAACAGGGTAACATCCTTGCTTCTCTTCCTTTGTCACATGGTTTGCTAACATGAGCACTTCCACGCTGACATGATTAGATTCTAGAAACATCCTTTCCAAGGCCATGCAGCTGCTAACACAGGATCTCAGTCGTCTGACTGCACATGCTGCTAGAAGGCCTGAAGCAGCTCTACACCCACACATGCCTAAGGATGGGAGACTCCAGGAATATAGAAAGCAACTTCATCAACTACATTAGAGAGTTTTGGGATCTTTTTAGAACAAAAACGAAGATCAAACGCTTGATCCTGAATCTGTGCACCACTATCAGACGACAGCACTCAGATTAAAGCTTGAACCCAAACCTAGCTCTGTCATCCCCCACAAAAGTAATTTATTAGTAAATGGAGTCTACCTTAAAAAACTGCTGAAATCCTTGAATATAACTCTGAACAAAACAAATATTGTCAGAAAACAGTTGTTTGTTTAGATCTATGTTGGTTTGTTTTGTGAATATTGCATTTAAGGTTCACCACAGCTCTGCCACAGAGCTGCTGTTATCTTCATATTTTAAATGATAATGTGACTCACTTGAAGTCACACAGGAAGTACTTGGTAGAGTGTGGAAAGATGACAGCAGAAATCTGCTTACAGCCAAAAGGCCTGAAACAGTGAACACTCACAAAACAAAGGTTTTACTGAGCCTCTGAACTAAAATTACTTAAAGGATCAGAGCCTTGGACTCTCTTAAGTGGAAAGCAGTCTTGAATACAGTAATAATAAAAGAGAAGAAAACCATCAACAGCACAAAATATACACAAGAAAACAGCAGGCTGCTTGCTAAGCAAGGGCAGCAATGGGCACCTGCGCTCCCCACAGTGCTCCAGCAGCAATACCAGGCTGCTCCAGGGGCTGGGAGATCCTCAACGCCTGCTCCCACAGGGGAGAACCCCTTCATCCATCCCCTCAAGGTAGTCCTGCCGCTCAACCAACCACCTCTTTCACCAGCAGCAAATCACATCTCTCAGCTCCGCAAGATCTCTCCTTAATTTAGTGCCGTCAGTCAAGGTATTCCCAAGTTTTAGGTCTGAGCAAGCAGATAGTCAGACACACCCGAAGCACATCCAACTCTGCTTCCTTCCCAAAGGCGCCACGGAGTCCGTGGCCTTGGGTGGGCACACACCTCTTCCCACACACCTGAGCTTCAGGGTCAGCTTGCAGAGGAGCTCTAACCCAAACCTCCGCTGTACGAGGGGGACACACACGCATCCCCGCCTGCCCTAGGAGCTGCTTGCCGAGCAAACCCCTCGGACCGCCGGTACGGCCCGTCCGCGGCGGCTGTTCCGGTGCCACGGGACACCGCTCGCCGCAGCTCACCAGAACCACTCGCTGCCGAAGCTGGGCACCGAGAACACGCCCCAGTGGATGAAGACGCCGAACTTCGCCTCGTCAAACCAGGCGGGCAGCGGCCGGGCGTCCAGCGAGCCCCAGGTGGGCTCGTAGCGGGGCCGCGCCGGCAGGAGCGCGGGCAGCCCCAGCAGCAGCAGCAGCGGCAGCGGCAGCAGCGCGGCGCGCCCGGCCGGCCGCGACATGGCGGCGGCGCGGCCGCGGGACACAGGCGGCTCCGCGGGGCGGGGGGCTCGGAGCTGCTCGGCAGGGCCGGGCCGGGCCGGTGGAAGGGGGACACGGGCGGGGCTAGGCGGGCTGTCCCCGCCCCAGCGCCCGCCCCGCCGGGCCCGTGGCCTGCCGGCCGGAATGCGACCGGTCCGCACGGCCCCGGGTGTAGGGCTGGGGCTCTGCCACTGCGCTCAGCCGGCACCGCCGCCCTAGCGCGCCTCCCTCTCCCCGCCTGCCCACCGGGGTCTTGTCCCCATCGGTGCCGCTTTATCTGGCTGCCCGATCACAGATTGCCCCCTGGATTTTAAGGGTTTTAAGAAAATGAAGTAACTGGCTTCTGCCTCGGACGACATCCCGCCGTGTTCCCCTCGGGCCCCGGTGGCTCCTCCCCTGAGAGCACCGGCCTCCCCGCAGCACTCGCCCGAAAGCTCCTGCCAGGGTCTGCTGGATCTACAGCCGGACCCAGGGCTGAGCCTTGGATCTGCAGCCTGAGTCTGCTCCAAAGGCGGCCTCCCTCGGCAGCTTGCTGGTTTTGCCCTTCCAACTATAGGCTCAGCTTCCCTGCCCTTCCCGGGAAGGACGGCGTGTAGCATTTATCGTTCTGCAGCTCCTTGCAGCCTTCCAGCCAACTTGTACGTGGTGGCTTTCAGGGTAGAGAGGTGCCCCAAAGCCTGTCAAGGAGATATTTCTTTGATCGTCAGAATGGCCTGTGCTGAAGCTGTCTCGATTCGGTAGATGAAACTTGGCGTTTGTGCTGCGGATCACGGGTGGCAGGCACATGCTTTAAAAGATGCATCTTCCAGCAAATTTGTTGCCAAGGCTAATGTTTATCCAGTCTTTCCTGATGCCCGAATTCTATATTTTTGCTTCAGCTGCCAGACATCATGGGACAGCCTTTGTAAAATAATTTGGTTTAATCAGTAAATACGAGTGGAAATTTCTTTAGCAATGTCATCAGAACAGTTGAAAATGAATGACCAGACAACTGAATTAATCTCTCTTCAACTGGAAAGGATGTATACTTTACTGCTGTTCTGTGGAAACAGAGCTTCAGTTTACAGAGCTATTAACCACAGTTGTTATATCTAATTAAAAAAAATATTTAAAGGGCTGTGAAAATAGAATGTGCATGATTTTGTAATATTTTTATTTATATACCTTGATGAATATATTAAGTTACAGGCAGGTAAAAACCATTTTGACTTCCATGGTATTATTCTTTCTGACTGACTGCTCACATTTCTCTGATTTACAAAAGCACTTTGATATTACAATAGGAGCCTCTTCATATCTCTTTTACATTCAGTGTTGACCGACTTTATGTCTTCTTTTGCCTTCACCCCTTTAGATGTCCCTTTGCCCCTCGAAAGGAATCTTTAGATGCCTTGACCTCTTGCTATGGTATCTTTTCTAGTTTATCCTTCAGTTTCTTCATGTTCTCCTTTTTGATCACAGCAAAGGATTGCAGACACTGAGCATCTCCTTAATGTGGTAATTTTCAAGCATACATTCTGAACAGCACGACAAAGTTACAAACTGCTCTGTGGCTCAAAATGTTTGGAAGGAAAAATGATTTTAAAAAAAGCTCAGGTGTCTGTCCCAAAGCTCACTGACCTGCCAACAGTAAATAGCAGTCATGAGTACACTTCTAATTAAGGTTCAGAAGATGTCATTAGCCCACACATTCCCAGCTACTGAAATCTCCAGTGGGGGAAAGTCCTCAGTGTACAGTCACATCTGCAATGATGCAAGCTGCAAAGGGTAAATAATAAAAATAGCACATTGTAAGATTTAGTGAATAACACAAGACTGGTGTCAGCAGCTGCAAAAAGCTCTCTAAGCCTGGGTACAGTGTGCCTGCCTGTGTGACGCTGGAGCCTCTGGGCCCCCATGGGAGCATCTGTAAGCAGGGAGTTCACTGCTGTGCTCTACCAGGAGAAGTCCCTGCCTCTCCCTCTCCCTCTACCAGCACAGTCCCACTGGGAAAGTTCTGTGGCTAAGGAAGGAGCAAGCTGGTCTGTCAGCAGAGGGAAGGAGAGGGAATAATGAAGGCAATTCCCTGGCAGATGCTGAGCAGAAGAGACCTTTTGACCCGACTAATGGCTGACATATGAGACTCATGTACTGGATCGATTGCTTGGACAATGGGAAGGGTGCCTGCATAGTGTGGCTGCTGGGAAGACCGCAAAACCACTGTGCCTGGGGAGCTGTGTGCGACTCGGCATTGAGAGGAAGGCGCTTGCTTGCTTGGGTGGAAGCAGAAACCAGAAACTGAATTTCACATGGACAAGTCTCAAACTTGATAGGTTTTTATTCAGACTTGGGGATTGGTAGTTGGTAGTTGTGATAGTTGTTTTAATACATACTGAATGCAACTTTCATGTTAGATAGCTGGATAATGCAGCGCTGGATGCATTAAAAATATCGGGTGCAGTCCTGTCTGTCTTTGCCATTGTGACTTCAGGGCAGCGATGATTTTATTCAAGGTAGAATATAATATGATTTGCCTGTAAAAACCAGGATAAACATTAAATATCCTTTTAAAGATGCATCATGTTGTAAAAGTGTTTCTGTAAAACACCGGAAAATGAAAGCACGGAACTTGATTTTGCTTCTGCCTAAGTCTGTGTGACTGATTTGAAAGGCAGGAGAGTACCTTCCTCCAAGAGCTGAGTAAAGCCTCTTGCGTGCAACCCAAACTTTAAGAAAGATGGGAGGGGGGGGAGGTATTTGACTCATTGCCCTCCCTGCTCTTCTGCAAGGGTGAGATGCCTTGTAACCTCCTGGTTTTGCTGGGGGGGGAGGAGAGGGAGGGCACCCTGTAACACAAAACAGAAGTGGTACTGTGGTTTGCTTGGCTCTTTTTAACTGATTCTCTTTTTTTTTTTTTTTTTTTTTTTTTTTCCCCCCGAGAGTTGGAAATGACGGGAGCGAGGAGCATGAAGACACCCCGGGGGATGGGTGCATCCGCGCACCTACCCCTCCACTTTGCTTTGCTCCCGCGCAAACACAAATTTTATGTTCCCAGAGACCCAAAACGTCGACGGCGTCCCGGCGGGGCGGTCGGAGGAGGGAGGCGGCTCTTCGTCTACAAACTTTCCCTGTCCCCTCCCTCGCCGCCTCTCTCCCTCCTCTTCTCTCCTCCCTGCTGCTCTCGGCTCCCCGTCGGCGATGGCTGAGAGGCCGGGGAGCAACGGGGCAGCACTGCTGCCCTTCTGGTCCTTACCCGGTCCCCGCGGCCGCTCCCAAAGCGACATCTCCTCCTTCTCCTCCTCCCGGAGAACCTGTCTGCTGCGGTCCGCGGTGGGCGGCTCAGGTAAGGGGGAGGGAGGGAGGGAGGGAGAGAGAGACCTCCGAGCCGAGCTGAACTAAAGAAATTGGGAAAAAACGTCCTCCTCCACACCCTGCCCAGCTCTCCCAGACCCAGGACTCGGTGGCCAAAGTGTGCATCTCTGGTTTACGTGGTGCTTAATCTCCTCCTTGAGATGGTGTTCGGAAAGTTCCTGGCTTATTATACCCGTGTTCTCACACCTAAATGACTCCTGGTAACACCATGGGTACCCACCCGTTTGGCAAAGCTACTTTGACTGCAGGGGCAGAAAAGTCCCCGGAAAGCTTCAGGGTGTATTGCTGGGACATCAAAACTTCTCATCCTGCCGCTCCACACATTAGGCTTCAACTGCATGTTAGAATTTTAACCCATGCACTTTCATCTGTTTCTTGATTTTCATTAGTAGGTGAGGCAAAAAAAATGTGTGAGTCAGTATCCCACTGTCGTACTTCAGGAGGTAACTGTTGCAAGTGCACACGGGATGATTTGGGTGTGGAAGCTGGACCTTTGGGACAGAGTAGGCTTCCTGCAGGATTCAGAGTAGCTTTGGTGTGTTAAATGAGAGGAAGTGAGGGCCCTAGTTTACAGTGCAGATATTTGAAAGTGGCCAAAGTGCCTGGGCTGTGCTTTACTCAATCTGTTTCCTGAGGTAAGGCAGTAAGGAAAATGAAATTCTGGTCTCCATAGGGCTGAGTTCATTTTGAAAATGTGTGCTTGCCTGGTTGCAAATCAGTCCTGCTCTATTGACTAGAACAAGGTTGTAGGCATATACATCCCTGGTGATGTAGGTATGTTGGATG